TATGTATACATATATATATATATATATATATATATATATATATATATATACAATTTTTTTATATATATATATATATATATATATATATATGTGTGTGTGTGTGTGTGTGTGTGTGTATATAGTAACGATAATGATAATAATAATTATTTCTATATAATAATTTCTAAATATTTAACAGTTTTGTAATGTTTATTTTTGTGTTTATTTTTAATTTGAATTATTCAAGCATTTAGGTTATATCCCCAGCAATAATTAACGACATTAATAATCTATTCAGTATAATCTTTAAATCAGATGCAGAGTCACACAAGTACACTCAGACTCACAAAAATTCACACGTACGCAAAGGCACACAATTGCATACACACACGATTTCACACTCACACAATTGAATACTTGTAAATGGCTGAAAGTGTATGTATATATATATGCCTACCATAACCTTATTGCATTTCTTGATGCAAGTTTGCAGACACAATCCATTACGTTCGCATTTCAACGAACATAGTTCGGAGCAAATAATAGACAAATTAGTTTTAGGTGCAACATTGTACACCAGAAGATGGACATCACTGACAGTCAACAACACAAGTAATATTCGTATAACGGCAACGTTCATCTTCCTACAACAAAAGAATTTAAATAAAAATCAATTTTAAATTTTGAGAAATTTCTCTATGCAATTAACCCAAATTTAATCTAAAAAAATATATTTATAATTTTGTGTGGTTATCTACAACAGACAAATCGTTTCGCAGGCTCACCGAAGGTAATGTGTAGAGGATGTTGTTAGCCTTAATTTATAAGCTGAAAAAGAACTTCGTTTTTTTTCAAGCCTCTATGAACCAAGAATTTAGACGATGTAGTGTTGTGTCTATTTTATCATCAAGAGCAAAATCATGTGTGAAGATTAGTTCACTAATTGACTTGGTATTGGCCTGTAAACGGCACAGATTGAGCAGGCTGACACTGATTCGCTACCCAATTTAGAGACCGTCTGCAGCAACACTGTCTTTTTCTGGCGCAATCATGCATCACTTACACCATTTCATATGCGTAAGTCATTTAGAATTTTTTGTTTCTAATAAGGCAACACTGATCATAATGTAGCTAGAGGATTATGCTAAAGAAAATGGGTGAATGGACAATCTAGTAATTTATATTTTTACCTTTTTTGCTCTCAATGGCCAACACATTCAGAAGGTCTACAAAGGTCACACGAAAGCCCCTGTTTTCTTCTCTGCACTATTAAAAGATAATATTAACACGAATAGTAAATGCTAAGAATTCGGATTCCTAACAAAAGGCAGGAATTTTTTATAAGGATATTAGAATGATTTATTAGCTGAAATTTGATGTGAAAGTTTCCTTGTATAATGCTTGTTGTAAATAATATATATAAATACATAATATGTCAAGAGTTGTCCACTAATTGATTTGTTGTATATTTTGGGATTGTCCTGTAAACAGCTCAGAATGAAGAGGCTACCATTTTTTCGGTCCTAGATTTAGAGACGTGTCTTCTGTGGCTCAATGGGGCATTACTTACACCATTCCATATGCTTAAGTCATCTAGAATTTGTTGTTTCTAACACGGTAACACTGATTATGTAGCTAGAGGATTAAGCAAGAAAAATGGATGGAGAGACAACCTACTCGTTTCAATTGATGCTCTCAATGACAGAAAAATACAGGAAGTCTACAAAGGTCACAGATAAGCCCCTGTTTTATTCTATAAAATATTAAAGTATAGTATTAACTCGAATAAAATAGTAAATTCCAAAAATTCGAATTCCTATTAAAATAAAGATCATTTTTTTCATAAAGATTTTAGGATGTAGAAAAGTTCGCAATCTGATTTGCTATTAGCATCAGAAATTTGATCTGAAAGTCTCCTTGTATAATGCTTGGTGTAAATAATATGGCTCACATTATTATATGCATTGATAAAAAAGATTTTATGATAAATATTTTTATTTTCAAATAATATTATTTCAACATTTGTCTACGTAATTAACCAGAAATGTTCATCCATTTAATGAATATATAGAAACTTAAATACAACAAAAACCCTTTTTAATTTTACGAATAAAATTTAATATGAAATGAATAAATAACAACAACTTATATAATATTAAGAATAAATTCGATAAATACATTATACAATTTTTCGTTTTTTGCCTGATTATTTCTTATACTTAATTCTATGAGATTGAAAGAACAAAATATCAAGAGAATCGTCAGCATTGGATTAAATAAGATAAAAAAAACAGTCAATTGGATCAAATGAATCGATAGAGTCAGAAATTTATGATTATATCAGATACTTACAATTATTTTAACAGAATTGAGAAGTCGAATATTTTCTTATTGAAGTTAGGAACATTCAGCAACTGTAAAGATTCATTTCTCCACATTGTTCTTTATATAGGTTGATCTCTCTTTTTTTTCCATATGTTACCTCGTTAAATAAATTCCATAGTTTTCTTCAATAATGTCTGTTGTAAACAATTTTTAATGATCTCATTACAATTTTAATGACAGGGTGACCTTTTTTTTATTATGGAACTAAATATTTATTGAGGTAAATAGATATTATTTTCAGCTTTTTACGGCGAAATTAATTAAAGGCTTTCACCCAATTATTGATGGTACACAACCTTAAAGACAACGCAACAAAATAGATGGTTTTATTCGTTTACCAGTTAAGCATTAATATGAAATTAATACAGTATATGAAATATTGCTAAATAAAATTGCAAACACTCTGAAAATCATTAATAATTTTTCCAGCTTATTAGTTAAACATTAATTACAATCTTCTGTGTCCAGGACTTCAATATGTCTTGCGTGTCTCATATGCTAAGCCGCCTTTTCTTTTTATGTGCTCCACAAGTTTTATCTCACATATTCTGATTCTAATTTTGTATACTTTCTTACAATTCAACTTAAACTTTGTCGTTTATCAGTTATTTTCTTTGTCTCGTTCTCAACATCCTTCTGTAGAATCACAGTTTTATTGTCTCAAATTATTAGTGATGGAGGATAGGATATGAACAGACTCAAAGCGATTGGTTGAAATAATAAAAATAATCAAATTGAAGAAGCTAATTAACTCGATTGATTATACTCTGTGATAAATAGAGCTTAGGAATAAAATATATGAAACACAGTTCTTTGTGCATGCTGACGAAGTAGAAAGCAAATAATTTCTTAGACAAATGAACAAAGATTCGGTTATGCACTTTGATGTCTGTGTAAGGGGACCACTAAATTTTGAACTCACTTCAGAGCATCTTTTTTAAAATATTATTTTTTAATTAATTTAAAAGATAAATCTTAAAACTAAAAAAAAACAAGAAATTATGTATTGTTCACTGGCAATGCTTAATAAAATTCCTCTTTATTAATCTAAAATTGATTATCTGTAGATACAATTGAATCAAATGGATTGATTGCAAATATTGTCAGATGTAGCATAGAATAAAATATTTGTCTATATTTTTGAGATGAGGTATTATGTGAACTATTTACATTATTCAGATTATTGTCCTCATTGTTGTTGAAATATTTATCATCGGCCGTTGTACGCTTCGGCCTTCTTCAGGTGATTGGAATGTTGAACTGAACCCTTTATTTCGCTCACTGGGGAAGACTGGTTATGGTTATACGTGCCATGTCTAATGGATTTCATTTATCAGTTATCTCCTGTTAATTCACCTCTCCAAGTTTTCCATTGCCTTAACCAGATATTGAACTCACAACTCTTTGGGTCCTGTCACTGGATCTAACCATCGCCTTTACCCACTGTTCCATGTCTTCTTCCCAGCCTTGAATGTATATCCCACTTCTTCTTCTTCTTCTCCATCTTTTCCCTCCTTCCATTTTGAATACTCACTGAGGTAGACTGCTCTAGTTCCACGCGCCATGTTTAATAGATGACAGTTATCAGTTATCTCCTGTTAATTCTACTCTCCAAGTTTTCCACCGCCTTAAACAGGTATTGAACTCACAATCTTTGGGTCCTGTCACTGGATCTAACTAACGCCTTTATCCATTGTGCCATGTGTCCTTGAGGACATATGGCACAGTGGATAAAGTGGATATTTCGGCTAGCGAAATAAAGGGTTCAGTTGGACATTCCAATCACCTGAAGAAGACCGGAGCGTACAACGGCCGAAACGTTGTGATAAATATGGCAATAAAGATGGGGACAATAGTCCGAATAATCTAAATAGTGTAGAATAAAATATATTAATGACATTTAAACCTTTCAGCAAGGTTAAGAGGAGTGTACATGCTTATTAAAACACGCGTTTATGTACATGCTTATTAAAAATAGACACATAAAGTATCAGATGTGAATCTTAGCATACGAAGTTGCTCATTGCTTGAGTATTTGTAAAAACCCTTATGGTTACTGACTCAAATGAAATTAACAACTCTCAAAAAAGTAGATATGAATTTATTTTTACATCTTTCATGCTTCAAGTACTTTCGGGATCTCCTTAATTTCTTTTCTTTTTAGTATTTTTTTCTTTATAAAATATCCATATCTACTTTACCGGGATATCCACTGCTAACCTGAACAACGCTTCCCTACTGTCTTCGAAATATTCACTGCTAACCTCTGGATTCTATACTCAAAGACGACCGTCATCAGGAACAACAAGGTGCCCAGGCAATATTTGTTCCTAGCCCTGGTGTACGCTCTCAGGCTTCCCATATTAAATGAACCTTGTGTCACAAACTGACCTCTATAAATTAGAGTCGGATCCCAGAATTCGTGGGAGAATTATGCTCCAATTTCACATTTATTCATATAGAAGATAAAACATCTGGTAACCCTGAGGAATTAAAATTATTCATATTCACTCTGTATTATTTTTCAAGTAGAAATCGAAGTGAATCCCTTTCTACTGAATCACCAGAGAATGTGGAGCAATGACGAATTGAAAATGCTACTCCAATGGCTAATTTGCGTGACAATCTGTCGTCACCGTCAGCGATGCAACGAAGAATAGAAAATGCAGAGATCGGCGGATCGCCACAAACGATTCAACAGCGAATGAGAGAAAATACAGAAAGAATGGCAGTGTGACGGGCAGATAAATCTGCTGATGCAATGCGAATGAAGAATTTAAGGGATAATGAATCTGCACGAGAATCGGAGCAACGTAGAGCTGGTAAAAGAGCGAGAATGGCAAATTCGTGGGATGGTGAATCTGCACAAGAAACTGGCCAACCAACGGCTGGTAAGAGAGCGAGAATTGCAAATTCACATTCAAACGAAACAATGGTCGAAACAAGGTTACGGCAAAAAGATAAAGCAGCTCAGATAGCAAGATTTCGGTCTTTCCCATTTTCTGAATTCAAAATGGCGGTGTTTAACTATATATACTGTCTTTGAAATATCTCATTTTTAATCTATTCTCTGTCTAGAAATAATTGGTGGAGGAAGAGATTTACTGAATGAGTTGACATAACACATTGTTTCTCAGTGGTTTCTCTTTTTTTTAACTTATACATGCTCGGCAATGTTTTATTTTGTAAATTAAAATACTGTTCATATTCTTCAACATTGAGGAAGTCGATATATATATGTGTATGTGTGTGTGTGTGTGTATGTATATATATATATATATATATATATATATATATTTGTGTGCGTGCTTGTTTTACATGCTTTTTAATTTACATGAAACGCAAAAAAAAGTCGGTTTTATTAGATTAAGTGCTACGCGTTAATATGAAATGAATACAGAACAAGAAATATTGTAATGTTAAGAAATCTTTGCAAATATTCAGAAAAAAACATTAATAATATTTCCTGTTCATTAGTTCTGGACATCAGTATGTTGTGTGTGTCTCACTTGCTAAGCCGTCTTTCCTTGTAATGTGCCGCAGAATTTTCATCTCATTTATTCTGATTCTAAATTTCTATACTTTCTTTCAATTTAACCAAAACTTTTGTCGTTCATCGCTTATTTTCTTCGCGTCATTCTCAGCGTCTTTCTGTAGAATCACAGTTTTTATGTCGCAAATGATTAGTGAGGAAGAATAAGATATGAAGAGACTCAGAACGATTGGATGAAATAATAAAAACAATCAAATAGAAGAATCTAATTGAATCGATTGACTATAAATAGTGATAAATAGACCATAGAATAGAATATATGAAACACTTAATTTGTTTCATTTTTTTTTGCGTAAAACCATATAATTTCTAACAGAAAAGAACAAAGATTCCGTTATGCACTTTGATCTTTGTGTAAGGGGAGACTAAATTTTGTACTAACCTGAAAGTATTAATTTTTCAAATATTTATAAATGAATGTAAAGTTAAATTTTAAAGTTAAAATGAATTGAATAAACAACAAGAAATTATGCATTGTTCACTGACAATACTTTATAAAATCCATCTTTATTAAACAAAAATTGATTACTCCTTGATATAATTGAATTAAATCGATTGATTGTATTGTCAGACGTGTCATAGAATAATAAATACGTATAAATCTTTCATCAGGGTTAAGAAGTTGAAAGCAAATAATTTCTTATAAAAGTAAGGCTGGTTTCCCAAGACATTTTGTTGGAGTGGCACCAATTTTTGGACGTTCTTGGAACTTCTACCATTTTCATATTTTCCTTCTTAATTGTTACTCATTTCTATACTTTAAATAATTATGGGAACTTTTGAAATTTGGTAAAGCAGGAGAAGCGGTTTTTTTTTTCAAATTATTTTATGTCAACGACTGTAATAATTCCCCAATTTTTATTTGTTGGTTTGTGTGTATCTACGCACGTGTTTATATATATGTCCGCACGTGTGTGTGCAGCTTATTAAAAATAGACACACAAATTATCTGATCTAAAGCGTACGAAAGTGATCATTTCTTGAGAATTTGTAAAACTTTGATGGTTACTGTCTCACATGAGATTAACGATTCTCGGACAATGTAGATATGCATTCTTTTTTACATTTTTTTATGCATCAATTTATTGAGGGATCTCCTTAATTTCATTTCTTTTTAGTATTTCTTTTACTTTTTCAAATATCCATTTCTCATTGTTCTACAATCAACTCACATCATCCTGTTAATTATATTACACGCTGTTTCAGAGGCATAGTGATATTATGTGCCACCCGGGACAGCAAATAAATAAATACATACATACATACATACATACATATATATATATATATATATATATATATATATATATATATATATATATATATATATATATATATATATATGAACTATTAACAGACTCAAAATAGATTCGAACGAACTTCTGTCAAGGAAATAACTGCAATAATATGATAGCAACCATTCCCGCACACAGAGGTATTGTGGCACTAAATTAACTGAAATTCATTTGGAAACAATAAGATTATTTGTTTTGAATTTTTTTGTTAAATGATGAATATATTTTAGTTATATTATCGGTAGATTTTAATGAGACATGATTAGATAAATTATTGCTGCGTGTAAACACCTTATTTCAATTATATGATTCTCTAATGAACAAGGATACTATCACAATAAAATCTTGGAGTTCCCTTATAGAAGGCGAGATCAAAAGAAATAAAAAAAATGAATAATCAAACATTTATTCGAATCTTTTTTAACATTTAGGCAAAACCCATTCTTCAAATGACTCTGATATTCAAAAGTAAAAAGAACAAAACACGAACTCTGGACAATTTTCTCCCAGTTTAGATGCACATGTACAGCACATTGTCCAGAAATTGGAAGATTTAATAACATGATAAATAAACAGACTTTATTGGTGAAATGTAATGAAAGATGACTGGATGAATGCTTGCAGACTTAATACACCTCATTTAAATAAAAAAGAAAAACTCCAGCGAATAATCGATTGTGTGCTTTTTACAGGTCCATTAAACTTTTTCCAGATAGTACTACTTAAAATAAATTTAATCGTTTCCTTCTGTAATGTTTGTTGTATATAATCCATAATTGTCCCCATTGTTGCTTGCAATGAATGGAGAACAAGATGTATTTATTAAATATTATATTTTCCTAAAGGCAAAGCTGAATCCTATTTAGTAATGTTGCATGCAATGCTTAAATGATCAGTGCACATATCTTCACGTCTGTCGTTGTAAATGCACACTGCATAATGAAAAATTATTAAATAGACAGGGGCTTTCATTTCCTCATTAGCGTAATGCTGATGAGGTTTGAAATGAGTTACAATCTGTTAAATGGCGTCCTCGACGGGCCTGCAGGCCTTTGTATGTCGATAATATCCCGCTATTAGATCGATGTATTCCGTAGAATCAAGGCATGGAAGACTATAGAATAGATAAGATTTACTCTCTAAATTTATTGAATATCAACCTGAAAAAGTAATCCTCCTTAAATTTTTTTTCAATATACCTGGGAAAAAATTCCTTGCTAAGTATTTAATTCCTATTCCCTCTTATTTATTTTGACCGGTAATTATTGTCCTCCATATTCGAATATATGACTGGACGCCACAACACAAAAGTGTAACCCTTTATTCTTTGAGCAGATTTTCTAAATTTTATCAAACAGTCATTTTCGGTTGGTTCTTAAAATGCATAATGGGACGCAAATTACTTTTTTTTTCTTTCACACAAAAGTACTTTTAAAGTATGGGCACTTTTGATCTCTTCCAAAGTGATTATTGATGATTAATAAGTAAGATCAAATTAAATATTAACTTTTATATTTTAAACTTATACTTATTTCCCTGTTATCATTTTTGTATGTTAATTTATGAGATAAAAAAAACTGTTGCTATCAATTATTGAATTTTTTGCGTTTAAATGCAACGGATAAATTCATTATAGATAATTGTTCTCACATTCTAATGAACGATAAGTATAACTGTCAACCGTTGCAATTAAACGCAAGAAGAAAAAAATTTCTCATGTTAAAATAATCAATTCCATCTTGAAAAGATCGCTGAAAGAATCTCGCTAGTCGAATCTCATTCTTTAAACAACACACAGAGCATAAAAAGTCTCATCTTTCAAAAGAATCTGTTTTCTTTCCGCAACAAAACTTCCAAAACAAGTGGTCTTTTTAAGAAATTATTTTGCTACAAGGAATTTCGCCTTCACATCAGACTTTTCCAATGACGCCTCAACAACATAGGCTTCTTCAGCAAATATCGCTTGTCTAAAAAAAATCTCATTAAATATGGCTTCTTCAATAATTCTCACCTTCTCAATCCTATTTTATTTTGAAATTTGGTACCGGATTAGTGATCTTAAAAATTGCTGTTTAATTGTTTTGCCTTAGCAGGAGATTTTCTGTTTTGTGTAGGTGGAATTTGTTCCATTACGTGTGTATTCAATATGCCGTCTTCCAATTGATTTATTATTTCTCTTTGACAGAGTTAATACGTTATATGTTCTTTTTAGAATTTCTTGGAATTTTGACCATAGCTTCACCAGATGCCCAATGGGTGCTTTATATTTGTCTATAATCATTGATAATTTTATTTGCATTCAGAGCTACATTGGAATATATATGGCTTTTCATATCCACTATTTTCTAGGCAAGATATATCTCTACTATTCTTCACCTCCATGATTTCTTTCGTTTTCATTTATATAAAGAGTATTATTTCGAAATATGCTTCATCATTCTCTTGAAAGTTAAAATATTTAATATCTTGAGTACAATCTTCCTCCCTAAGGTCTGGTTCGATTTTACCATATTTCTCACACATCGGATGTCAAGCGCTCTATTGTAAATTCATTTTCAATTTGTTACGGGATTAAGAGTTGATAAGAAATTAAAATATATGTGAGTGTACTTGAATTCAAAATTGATCGAATTTTTTATGTTTATAGTTTTATAGTTAGTGACACCTTGCTTTCGTAAGGGTTCATTTATTTCCTCTGGTTTAGACACGGACAGTTGTCTCATTCTAAAAAAAACATTTAAGTTGTTAAGTCTTTATTGTAAATATTACACTTTAATTTGTGGAAAGATTACATTTTAAGTATGTTGTATACGTGTCTCATATAGTTGCCATTTACAAGTAGATTGCCAATCCTCATTATAAAAAATTATCTCATCATCCCAAACATTTCCTCCGCTTCACTTCTCAAGATCCTCTTTACAAAAACAGATCACGAATCTTTAAAAGTATATATCAATCAGAATTTTCCTATTCCTTACGGGACAAAACTAGCTTCCCTGAATAAACCGCTCAATTCTACACCCTGGTTCTCGCCCTAACAAAGTCATCCCATCTCTATCTTTCTATTCATCTATCTATCTGTTCTGTCTATTTATCCATCTCCCCATACTTGCATACACACATCCATCTATCTATCTATCTATCTATCTAT